AGACCCCATCCCTTACCCTATCTTCTTGGAGGCCACCGCCCGGCCAAAGCTGGCTGACCCACCCATTCTCACTAACTAGAGGAACCTGGTAGCCTGCTCTGTGTGCAAACCCTCGAATCCTGCCAGGGGCCAAAGGGCCCCTCGCTTCCTCAGCGCCTAGAAGCCAGGTCCCAGCACCAGAGGGTAGGAGAGCACCTTTCAGCACCTGGACAAGGCCCTACAGGGCTAAACCCAAGAGGATCTCTCTCTTTACTCCCCATTCCTGAGCCGGGTCTGAGGGATCCAGGGGCTCTGCCCATTCTGAGCAAACAGATAAGCGCTCATCGTGAGGGTAGAGGGCACTGGGTGGGGCTGGAATGTCTGGGAGTGTCACAGCCTCTTTGATCCTTGACCCGTGACCCCCTCCCTACCCAGGCCTTGCCCACCTCCGCACACTCACGCGGGAGGTGTTGCTGCCGAGCTGAGTGGGGCGGACTCTCCTACCGCGTGGAACACAGATGGAGCCGGCAGCCCCTCCCCGCAGCCCTCACTGCCCCCGCGGAGGAGGGGCACGGCGTCCCCTACCCCAATCTGGGAGGGTCCGGAGCACTTGTGGGCCGCCAGTCCGGGCCGGAGGGAAGCGGGCGGGGGCCGCTCCCATCACCCTCTCCGGGTCAACAGCACAAAAGCGGCGGCTGCGAACAAAGAAGCGCTGCAAACTCGCCAGGGGGGCGGGACAGCCCGCGCCGCGCCCCCTCCCCAAGCCGGGCGGGCGTGCCCGGCCATGGGGTCCTCGCGGCGCCCCGACGGCGCTCTTACCTGGCCGGCGCGGACCTCTTTCTCCAGCTCGCGGTGGCGGTTGTGCCACACGAGGTAGTGCAGCGGGTACTTGCCCTCGGGCCCCTTCCTGGCGGAGGCGTTGGCGGGGATCATCGCCCGCTCCTCATGCCGGGGCCGCGGCGCCCGGCCCGGGAGGAGGGACCGCGCCAGAGCCAGGGCCCGGAGCCGCGGGGCGGGGGGCCAGCGCTGCCTGCTCGCAGGGCTGCGGCTCGGGCATGTGCTAGAGGCGCCGGCGGGCGGGGGTGGCGCGCCCGGAACGGTGCGGGCGGCGCGGGCCGCGGGCGTCCTCGCGAGGCGGCGGGCTGCGCGGAGAGGCCCCCACCCGCCCGGAGAGGGCGCGGGCACTCAGCGGCGCGGCGCGGACTCGCGCCTTGCCTCCCACACCCCCGCGTACAAAGACGCTGCTCGGCCGAGGGAGCAGGCGCCCGCAGCGGGGGCGCACGGGGCGAGGGCCCCAGGGACGCCGCCACCGCCGCCGCAGGGACGCGCGCCCGCAGCTGCATAGCCCGGCCCTCAGCCCGAGCGGTCGGCTAGGGATGCGGGGATGCGGGGGAGAGAGGAGGGGGACGTGGGTTCCCTGGGCAGTGCTTGTTATAACTCGGCCCCGCGGCATCATGGGGCTTGTAGTCCGCCTCGTGGAACTGGGGGTGGCGAGTGACCGGAGAGGGTCCCGCAGTGGCCCCCTGATTCACTGAGAGAGTGGGGAGGGAGTCAGGCCTGGCCGGAACGGAGGCAGTGTCCTGACGCCAGTTGGACAGGGGCGCACCGCCACCCGCTGGCATTTTGCCTTTTGCTGGGGAAGGAGGGGGTTACAGGCCTTGCTCAAGCCTTAGGGGTCGCGGGAAGGTGTGGCCATCAGGATTGAGTTTGGGTCCTAGTGGAACGTGAGCAGGATCCAGATTCCAAGAAAAGAGTGACTGATGGAAGGAATCCTGAGAAAGGTGCGGGGCGTTAGTAAGGGTCACTGGAGCAACCAGGAATCTGGCACCTGAAATATTAAGTAGGAGTCTTCCCTGCCTTCTTTCAAAATTAAACTCCATCTTCCACATTTGACGTTAGAAAGAGAATGTCTATTAAGGCTGGGAGAACAGACCCCTCCCCCCATACTCTGTCCTCTGCAAGGACCAGAGTGGGGCTGGGCAGAGACAGCAGCAGGTGGCAGCTCCCCACCTCCACCCCATGTGGTCCCCTCTGGAGAGGAAGTGACTGATTCCAGAGACTAACTCCTTCCTGAATAACCCCAGAGCAGAGAAGTCTTTCCAGAAGGGTGCCTGCAGATGCCGTGATAAAAGTGGAATTGCCCTCTGGGGCTGCCTATTGCAAGGGCTGGTAGGACCTGGAGTGGATAGGGACTGGGGTGTCTGAGAGAACCTGAGTTTGAATTCCTCTTTACTATCTTCCTGACCTTAAGCAGATTGCTTAAATTTTCTGGTTTCTCGGACCACTCATCTCTAAAATGTGACACTAAGTACTACCTACCTCCTCGGGTGAGCTAAGGATAGTGACTGCCCTGGAAATGGCACATCCCTCCCCCAACCAGGCGGACTGGGACAGGTGGCCGGACCAGGCACAGTGCCTTCTTGAGCCCACCTTATAACAAGACAGGAATAAGGGATTCCATACCAGCCCTACTTAGAACAATCCAGGAAGCATTTTTGTGGGAGGTGCTAGCAAAAGTTTGCAAACTCTCCGAGCCTCTCTCAGGTTTCTTTGTGTGGTCTTCGGTCCTTCCTCCTCCACACCCTGCAGTGCCAGGCCCCGGCGGGAAAGGATGAGGGAGAAGTGGACAGCCTCGCCCCTTTCTCCAGGCTGGGAGGAGCCAGCTGGCGTCTCCCGCAGCCGGAGACCGCTGCCCACCTCCACCACGAGGGGTCAGCAGAGTGTCGTGGCAGCTGCCAGGGTTGGGGAGGAAGCTGGAGCGGAGAAGGGACGGCTAGGAGTGGCCGGGAGAATGCCTGTACATTTCCTCATTAAATTGTTTTTAGAGTCTTTTTGTGATCTCTCTTTAACTGTCCTGCTTCCTGAGGTGGCAAAGTCTCCAAAGGGAAATTCTGAAACCCTTTTATCCCTACCCCAGGCCCAGAAGCTCGTCTGTGGCGGGGCTGGGGGCTTCGGGAACAAAGTTTGGAGAGTGGATCCCTGCTTCGGCCACTCCCAGGTAGTCCCAGGGCCAACCAGGAGATGGGGCTAGCGGGGTGGGGGGAACGGGGTGACTTATCCTTCCTCCCCTGAAAAGGCTTGGAGCTTAAGGAGGCGGGGAGCTCAGCCTGGATTGGGCGGGCGGGGTTGGGGGGGGGCTATCCTCTGGGCAGCCGGAGTTTCTCTTTTTGCCAAGCGGCCCTGGACTCTAAACTCAGGTCGCTTTTCCTCCGGCCTGCGCGCTCCAGCTGCCACGTGCTCGAGACGCGCCCACACAGCAGAGAAACAAAGACAGCCAAGCAATGGGGTTGCCAGCAGCCGCCTCGACTTCTAATAAATGAAATTCCATAGCTGGGGGTCGATCGGGGGTGAACGGGAGGCCACAGCTCGTGGGCTGTGCGCCCAGTAAGAACGGGCAGGCCGCTCCTCCCATCGCCAGGGATGGGGCCACCAAGCCCATGGACGGACTCCTCGGTGGAGTGCAGCACAGGGCGGCAGGTGGTGTTCTCCCTCTCCGCCCCCCCACCCCCGCGAGGTATCTTAGCTCGCAGAAACCCTGCCAGAGGAGCTGCTGGCTATGGGGGGAGGGGTGCCTGCAAGATTTTTTTTTAAGGTGCGATTATAAATATACCTCGTGGATCGCAATCTCAAACAAACTTGTCAATCTGGGCTGCAGCGAAAGGCGATGGAGGCAGCTTTGCATATATTTCGGATGGTGTGACTCATGAACATTACTTGTCTCCCCCAGGGAAGCAGCCTGCCACCCACAAGTCACTGCTGCTCTGGCACCGCTGGGATAAAATCAACCAACTCCTGCACCCCTGCCCAAGGACTCCCCTCCTGCTCCCTTGTTACACAGCAGGACTACATGCCGATGGGGAACCCTCCCCTAATCTGGGGAACCGTCCCTTAATCGTGTCACCACTGACCTGGCCCTTGGGCCTGGGCCTGGGCACCCCTGCCCTCTCCCCACAGAGCTCTGGCCTTTTGCTGCTGCAGGGATGAGGGTTGGGTGCACGTGGGGCACACGTGTATGGGGGAGCATGCTCAGTCCAGGGGTGCACCCACGTGCGGCCTGCGCCTTCTCTCCCTGTCCACGCCCCCCACCTCCAATGAGTCTCAGTGTGAAGTCCAGGAAGAAAGGCCACCACAAAAAAGGCCCCTGTATGTCATATGCACATGCCCTGGACACACAAACCCCTGGTGGCTCAGAAACACCGTTGATATATACAAGACCGATGCGAAGTGGATATTACTGCACACAGGCACAGTGGTCACTCCTCAGGAGGTCTTCAAAAAAAATTGCCCAGATTCTTTCCTCTCTGGATGAAAGCATGGAGGAGGGATAGATGTCTTTTTAGCCCAGTGGCAGGGGATCACTGCATGACCTCTGGCACCTGGGCGTCCATATTGCTGGCGGTGTGCACAGTCAGCAAGAGTGTGATCACACATACACCTGGACACACAGAGGCGGACTCATGGGGGACCAGGATGCACAACTCACCCCAAACAGAGACAGGTACCCTGAACCACAGCGGGTACCCTGAACCACAGCCCCTTGATGAGGAAGGGGAGCCCGGGCCTCCAGCTCCTTACTCTCTTCTCTGATCCCCAGGGGTCACTGTCTTCGGAAATGAAGGGGATGGGGCTGTGAGGCAAACTCACACCGTCTGGGGACAGGGGTGCGCCAGAGCCGAGGCCTGGGCCGTAGGAGGCACTGCCGGCTCTGGCCTTGCGGCAGCCGTGGCCCCTTTAAGAGCCCCCGCCCCCTCCCGCCCGCGCTCTCGGCTTCCTTTCTCCTGGAGGCGCGGCAGGCAGGGCCTGGCGGCGGGGCGGGTGTGCAGTCTGCCCCTCCCCCGGTGGGACGGGCCTGCGCCGCTTCCTGCAGGAGCGGCCGGGAGCCGCGCAGGGGGCGGGGA